TACACTTTCACAGTACATAGTCCATGGAATTTTAATATGATAAAAATTTAAAAGTTCAGTGATACTATCTCAGATGCTACACTACAGTGATCTTTACAGAATCCACAATTTGATGTATTTTGATACAGTATAAAAGAAGGCTATCTGCAGATTTCTAAAGGCAAATAGGGTATTTCCCCCCTAGTTTCACATGTCTGTGCTTTCTTCACATACTCCATCTGGCACAATACAATACACAGTACACAGCAACAGATGAGGTACAGAGGCAAGTAGCAGAGTTCTGTTTTCTATTAAACCAGATAGCATGATATATTCAAGTGTGCAAAACAATTTAATTTTTTCTGTTGGAAAATATAGTTATTGTCCATAAAGCTATAATATTCAATTATATTTGAAAATCATTTTTAATATGACATTTATTTAATAGTATTTAAAAATTCACTTGCAACATTAGTAAAATTAATATTATTATCTATAAAATACTACATAGACTACAACTATTTTCATTTTTCAGTAATTTTGTGAGAAAAAAGTTGTTCCAAGACCAAAATATTAGAGAATTTTTCCAGGTAATGTTTCTACTGGGAGACATTTTAATGAGATCTTATTAGCTTTTCATTGTTGAGTACCTCTACACTTTTACAAGCATAAGTGTATTCTCATTGAGAATTTTATTCATAATATAGCCATTGTTATTCTCTAATTCATTTTCTCATTCAATTAATAAGTTCAGATACCAGGGTAGGTCATTAAGATAGAAGAAGAAAGCCAACACAACCACATGAAAGGTCTCTTTCACTGAGCCTGAGTAATAGTAAGATAGATGTGCAGTAAATAAACAGATAAGCAAAGGCATCAAATGATGTGCTCCAAATTGTTTTACAGAACCTTGTCTTCCAAAGTAATTATATTACACACCACATCAATTTTAACTTATAACATATAAAAGTACAATCATTACATCTATGTGGCCAGCTGAATTCTAATTTAAATGGGTCATCTTGACCCATCTTTATGTAAATATTTGGCTGAAATTCAAAGCTTTCATTGTCCAAAATGTTACAAAGAATTGCCATATAAATTATGTGAAATTTATTCCCTATGACCCAGTTAGCTATGAAGTAAGCTGATTTGATCCATAAGCATTGTGGACTTGGCTGTATAATCAGATATTCTGCTTTTTGAAGATTTAGTTTCTGTACAACTTGGGAAACTTCAACCACAATCTCTTTGGATCACACCCAAACTTATCTTTCAGACTGAAGGAAAGAAATAAACACTTTAATGTTATGAGCTCAGTAGGGTTAGTTTTCTCTGTTTTGTATTGTTTTTCTTGTTCTTCGTTTTTCCCACTGATCTCCTGAGCTGCAATTACTTTTTTGTTTCCTGGCACTACATGTCGACCTCTAAATTTCATTTCAGAGATTAAAATCTTATATCTCTCTCTCCAGTCTGTGAATTTAGGAATATTTTCATATCCTTTTACCAAAATGGCACAATATACAATTGTCAAGTCAATTATTTTTATAAGTTTGGCATCAGCATATGCAAATTCTAAAATACACTTGTGGGAGGATAATTTTCTTTATTACATTTTGCTTGGAACAACACTCTACAGGTACGTAAAATAGAAAGCATTTGCCATGGAATTGAAAACATTAAAATGTACACAAACACATACACGCTGAAAAATCTAGGGCACACAATGAGGGTTATTACTCCTTATATTTAGAAAATTAAGTGCAAAAAATGTTAGAAACCACAGAGATTTATAATATGCATGTAATTCTGCAGACAAAACTCAGGAAAGACAGAATAAACTATCTTTGCTCTTAAATAAATTGTGAGATGCTTACTTCTGCTATAAAAATATTATTCTTTAGTGTTTTTAGAAATGTTTGAATCTTATGTAAATTCTTTCATCACTGGGACTTAATACATAACACAAATGCAAGTGATTCTGGAAAATGTATAGTCCTCAAGCTTCTTCAAACTTGGTAAAGAGAAAAGAAGAGTTGAGGATGAGGCTGGTTATGGAAAATTAAAATGCTACCCAGAACATACAGATATTAATATATATCAAGATATATCCTGTGCATTGAAAATCTGAAGGTGAAAAAATATTGTAACTATGACACATGTGTTAATAAAATTGAGTGGACACATGATAAATTTTTGTGTGGTTATTGAATAAGCCAAATATACAAGATTTAGTAAGAGAAAGTGTGTTAAGTCACAAAAGGACAGTGCTAAATTTAAGTTACTGGAAATGGTAGCAGCAGATTATTTATCTCAAGAAGTAATGATTGTGCTGGGACTGCTGGAAGGGAGAATAACCCTCAATCACAGCACACTGTCCGCTTTCCATGACCTTCTTTCCTCTTCAGAGATAAAGAGGCAAATCAACAAATAAATAATGGGTAAGTAATCAGAATTACTTGATACAATGTAAAAGGAGATTTGATTTAGATAGGGTGGTTAAGGAAAGACTCTCTGGGCATATCATTCTTGAGCTCAGGAAAGGTCATATAATGAGAAAAAGAGAAAGATAGTCTCCATTAGGAAGACTTAACCACTGATACTAGGAGATGAGAAAAGTGTTCCTGCACTTGAGTTGCAGAATGGAAGGCACTGTGGCTAGAAGATAGTAAAACAGAAACCAAACTGAACGTATGTTAGAGAGGAACACGTGGAACTCTACGCAAGTGCAGTGGAGTGGAAAAGATTCTTGTGGTTGTGAAATTGGTGAGTGAAAGGACTGATTGTGAGGATCACAGGAGGCAATGGCAACCTAGATCAGCACTCATAGTTCCCACACAGAGTTAAATAATCATAAAGGACTTTGAGAGGCCATTGGATTTGTTTAAATCCTGATGCAGAGACACACATTACCAGACCGGAAATCCCATAAGGTTTGCAAAGAACAATTTCTGAAACACAATGAAAAGTAAGGTTTTGTAGATTTCACGGACAAACAGCTAGGAATAAGCATGACATCATTATCAGATGATGAAAACAAGACAGAAAAGAGTTTACTTCCTTTTTGTTTTTGGAAACTTAACTTTCAATAAAAAATGCAAGAAAGTGAAGTTTAACTAAATTCTCATTTGCTCTTTACTTAATTGAAGGTGTCAGCTCTAATGAATTACTTACCATTGTTTTTGTATTTATTTTTTGTCATATTAAACAGTGGATTATGTCTGCACACTTTTTATAATTGGTTGCATTTCTTCAAGTAATTAGATTTAAATTCCATTTTTGTTATACCACATAATTTCATTGCTCTTTTGGTTTCTGATTTTATATAATTATTAATGACTTTGCTTATTGCCTAGGTAAATTTTCCTCCCATACAGCAAATAAAAGAAAAAATAAGTTTAAAGTGTTGGAGATAAAGACTATTGTTTATAATACAGTTTGTAAAAATCTTTTAAAAAAGCAAAGAGATTAAACTGTGCATAGAAGAAAAATTTAGGTCAAAATTTTAAAGATAGGTCTCTTAATATATATTTGTAAAACATATTGTATGATAGAACTGTAATTATTTGAGATTTTATGCCCTATAGTAGGCTGAATACAATTTTCATTCTTATCATTTTCAATAGTATTTGCCACTTTTTAGTAATTTTGACCTACATTTGGATTTTTAAGAATATTTTCTTAAAAATGTGCCAAGTACTGAAAACAGTGTAATATTTCCTCTCAAAATCGGGCTTACAAAATAAATCTCCTTCGGTGGTATAAATTGCATTTGTTTTGCAGAATTTTATGGTCATTCTGATTTATGAAAGGAACAGTCTAAATTAAATCCGGATAGAAGACATATATAAGCTAAAGTTAGAGAAGGCTCAGGATAGAGATAAATTTTTAGAATATATTAAAACAAATTTTAAATTATATTTGCTTATAAAAGAGATAAGAGATTGAGAAATTTCTTTTAAAAATGTAATTGCTTCTGCTTGCCTACGATGTGATAATTTGAATGCTTTAATGCTTATAATATTTCATAGGACTCTTTGCAAAAGCCTTTGAGATAAATAAGGGCACTCTTTTCCCCAAATGTATGAATGAAGCAGGATTCAGAAGGATAAGGCAGGTGAATATGGCTTGTATACCATATGAATGAGTCTAGAACTGTGGTTTTGGTCCTCTTATTCAAATATCTTTCTCAAAGCATACAACTTTTACTATTCTCTGTCTACAAAAGTAAGTGAATAGTAAATGGACCTACTTGGCCAAAGAAAAGAAAGCGAGCATGGCCCTTACACTTAAGAATTACACTTAAAGTCTCAGTGTTATTTGGTACTAGTATTACTTAAGAAAAGACATAAAATTTTGTTGTGTTAAAATCTTTGCAAAAGAAGTAAACTAGTAAGTAAAATAGCAAAGTGTGTTTCTTTCCTATTTTAGTTAAATAACAAAAATTATCATTTATTGAATACCAGCTATGAACTGGAGAATTATTCCGTAGATATAATTAGTTCTATCTTAGAGATGAGGAAAATATTCTTAGTGAATATCTCTACTATATCAATAAAATTTACACTTTTGAAGAAATGATCTGGCTCTAAAACAAAAGACATTCAAAAGTGCCTGGACTTTTATAATGTCAAATTCATTACATATAATACCCACATTTCTATCACATATAAATTAACTAAAATTTCAAATATTAAATTATGTATTAATTAAAAAACAGTTAAAATAATGTCCTAATGCTCATGCTGTCAGTTCTTTGCACAGAGCAGGACAACGTAAGTACCCAGTGGATATGACATGTTTTCTGATCACAAGAAGAAGTTCCCATGCAGTGAGTAGTTTAGATGCCTAAACTGTACTTTCTGAAGAGGCCTCAAGTCTTAGTACAGGAAATCTTCAAGGCTATAGGAAATGGGGGTGAATTGTCAAAATCCTCTGCCTCTCTTTTTTAATAGCAGTGTCTACAATAGGTTGGTATTTGCTGTTGGTTTAGAGAAGATTATCATACTGGATTCTAGACCTCATCTTTCAGGGTCTGCAGCAGACAAGTCTTCAGCTTTGTCATTTGCTGTGGTATTATGAAACGTTTTCTGCATGTACTCCACATAGAACTGTAACTCCAGAAAACGGGAGGAGATTCTCAACAGACAATTATCTTCTGAGTAGAAACATTTATTCTGGGATGCCTTTTGAAAGAGTCAGGTTGTTTCTTGACAATGCCTTATTACTGACACAGTTGCCATAACTTTTACACAGTTCCTGTCTCACTTCTACAAGATCTTCACGGAAGAATGTATTCTAGTCTCAAGGTTGTTATGAAAAAGTACCTGTTGGCTTATTTGGGGTGGTATCAGCTCTGAAATTTCCTCTCTGATCTTCTGAGACATGGAAGAGAGTAGGCATCACAAGGAGCATCTCCAAGAAGGCAACTAGAGTGAAGGTGCTTCTGAAGAGGAATTTAATAACTCTTCCTGGAGTTAAGGTATTGCTTCCTTTGGTTCCTCTTTTATAAAGGTACCAAAGGAGCATTTTGTGCCATCTTCTAGAGAATGTTTGTTTCTCATGCTTGATGTATGCCTGGATTTGAATTCAAAGATGTCAAGACTCTAGGCTCTGAATTATGCCTTGACCTCTAATACTCAAGACTTCCTTAATTTGTCAAGCTTAAATAGACCCTCTGTTCCCTTATAATGTCTTCTCTTGCAAAAGAATCCTTGGTCTCTCACATTTAGACTCCAGAACAGGTCATGCTGCAAGTCTTAAGCTCGTGGGCTTAATCCATGCAACCATACTGGTTAATTTGAGGAATTTATTTTAAAGGTATTACTAATTCCATACCTCTCTGAGAGGGTCATGGAATGTAGCTTAAAGAGCTGCTGACACAGGCACAGGGAGAGGAAATACAGATCCCCTATGATACAACCAAAGGGTTTCTTACTACTGGGCGCTGTATCACCTTCACCAGGAAAGGAGTTATTCATAGCACCTTCTTTTGTCCAAGTCAAAATCTCATGAAGTTGCAACTGATTCTTTAAGTCTAGGTTACAATCAAAATCATATTACTTAGATGACTGAGTTGAAAAC